AATGCGTAAAATGTGCATCAGCCGCTAGTTAGGCGCACCATCAGCTGATCAGCCCAGACAAGAGCAGAGCAAATAGAGACAGAATAGAGGATGATTCTGTCTGGATGTGGATGGAGATTACATTTTACAGCAGCCTGATCATCATTTAAATACGTAAACCATCATCTGTCTTCTAGTCCATGCTATCAGCATATATTTTAATTGGTGTGTGTGTGTGTGTGTTCCACTTCAAACACTGGTCTAACCAACCAGACCAGCGTGTCCAGTAACATATTAATGTTACAATTAAACAGTTTCCCTTCATGTAGGCTAGGAACATTTCACCTGCCGTGGCCCGACCGCTTCTGCTCCTCACGAACTTTGTGCGTGATCAAATGTCTCTACGCATCATGCGTCTCCATATTAGAGACGGGAACAAGCGCTGTTCAGCCAGTTTCATAATTTCATAAAAAGAACATTTTTCCAAGTGACACATCCCTCAGAGAGACCGGGTTTCCAGACCGCTTCAGTGGGAGGAAATCATTGCATGCACCATGGTTCTGCGCTGCGCTGCGAACCCCTCAGATCTTCAGCTCACTGTCCACCGTGGGCGCTCCGAGCCGCGCTGAACACAGTGTCCAGTATAAAGCTCTGATGTTCTGATGGGAATCTTTTACCTCCGTGATGTGCGTTAACGATTAAAATGTCAGCTCATCCATGTGCATCAGTGTGCGTGGGGGTAATTCTTTCAAACCAAGCAACATCCTTGAGTTCATCTGTCAAAATAAACAGTCAAATGGAAATATATGTAACCTGCCGTTTAACTGTTTTGCCTTCTTGTGAAGATTGTTGCAAAGAGAAACAATTAAACTTGATTAACCCCAGAGCCACCCAGAGCGCATGTGGGAAGGTTCCTCCCACTGAAGCGAGTGTTTTCCAAACCCGGTCTCTCAGAGAGACTTGTCACTTAGAAAATGTTCCCTGATGATGAAACTTTGGCTGAATAGCGCTTGTTCCCGTCTCCAATGTGGCGACACATCCAGGAGCCGTCTGAGGAGAATCCCAGAATCTCACATCGTCTTCAGCTAATAAAGCGCCTATGATTACGCACAAGCGTGACGCGTCAACCCGGTCTCACAGTAAGACCAGGTTGGACCTGTTCAGGTTTACGCAGACAATCTTTACATTTAGAATTGGCATACAGATGTAAAATTAATGCAGTAAAATATAAAGCATTTTATTTAAATATCCATTCATTATTTTACAAACACAGAGCCGCATCAGATGGATGGAAGAGCCGCATGCGGCTCCAGAGCCGCCGACCCCTGTGCTAGCCTACTTTATTGTCCCCAGCAATTTTTAAACCCCACTCAAGTGTATGGTTATTGTCCCCAGCAATTCTGAAAACAAACTGACGCCCTTGGCCTCAGGCCTTTATTGGAAGGAGGACCAGAATTAGAGGCAGGCCTCAATTTCTATTTGAGCAAAATGAACTAATGGTTCGCTGGAGTTTTTGATAATTACAATTGCGCCCACATTTTCCAAGTTAAACACATCTCTTTTAACAACAGTAGTTTCTGCTTCAGCCCTCTCCCCCCTCCCCCTGCGCAGCGGCCACAAACTCACTGATGCGCCTGCAGCCTCTCGGAGTTCCTGCTGCTCTAAGCATTAAAATAATTATTTCATTTTCTGTTCCTCACTTCTGATTACCTTCAGTGGTGTCTGTTTGTTGCAACCACCAGGTACAAAAACTTACAGGTGCTGGCCAGTAAATTAGAATATCATCAAAAGGTTGAAAATATTTCAGTAATTCCATTCAAAACGTGAAACTTGTACATTATATTCATGCAATGCACACAGACCAATGTATTTCCGATGTTTATTACGTTTAATTTTGATATTTATAGGTGACAACCAATGAAAACATCAAATCTGGTATCTCAGAAAATTAGAATATTCTAAAGGCCAATGAAAAAATGTTTGTTTCTCTAATGTTGGCCAACTGAAAAGAATGAACATGAAAAGAATGTGCATGTATAGCACTCAATACTTAGTCGGGGCTCCTTTTGCCTCAATAACTGCAGTAATGCGGCGTGGCATGGACTCGATCAGTCTGTGGCACTGCTCAGGTGTTATGAGAGCCCAGGTTGCTCTGATAGTCGTCTTCAGCTCCTCTCTATTGTTGGGTCTAGCGTATTGCATCCTCCGCTTCACAATACCCCATAGATTTTCTATGGGGTTAAGGTCAGGCGAGTTTGCTGGCCAATCAAGGACAGGGATACCATGGTCCTTGAACCAGGTGCTGGTGGTTTTGGCACTGTGTGCAGGTGCCAAGTCCTGTTGAAAGGTGAAGTCTGCATCCCCATAAAGTTGGTCAGCAGCAGGAAGCATGAAGTGCTCTAAAACTTCCTGGTAGACGGCTGCATTGACCCTGGACCTCAGGAAACAGAGTGGGCCAACACCGGCAGATGACATGGCACCCCACACCATCACTGACGGTGGAAACTTTACACTGGACCTCATGCAACGTGGATTCTGTGCTTCTCCGCTCTTCCTCCAGACTCTGGGTCCTTGATTTCCAAAGGAAATGCAGAACTTGCTTTCATCAGAAAACATAACTTTGGACCACTCAGCATCAGTCCAGTCCTTTTTGTCCTTGGCCCAGGCGAGACGCTTCTTGCGCTGTTTCTTGTTCAAGAGTGGCTTGACACACGGAATGCGACACCTGAATCCCATGTCTTTCATGAGTCTCCTCGTGGTGGTTCTTGAAGCGCTGACTCCAGCTGCAGTCCACTCTTTGTGGATCTCCCCCACATTTTTGAATGGGTTTGTCGTCACAATTCTCTGCAGGGTGCGGTTATCCCTAGAGCTTGTACACTTTTTTCTACCACATTTTTTCCGTCCCTTCGCCTGTCTGTTAATGTGCTTGGACACAGAGCTCTGCGAACAGCCAGCTTCTTTAGCAATCACCTTTTGTGTCTTGCCCTCCTTGTGCAAGGTGTCAATGATTGTCTTTTGGACAGCTGTTAAGTCAGAAGTCTTCCCCATGATTGTGGTGCCTTCAAAACAAGACTGAGGGACCTTTTAAAGGCCTTTGCAGGTGTTTTGAGTAAATCAGCTGATTAGAGTGGCAGCAGGTGTCTTCTATATTCAGCCTTTTCAGAATATTCTAATTTTTTGAGATACCAAATTTGGAGTTTTCATTAGTTGTCACTTATGAATATCAAATTTAAATGTAATGAACATTGGAAATACATTGGTCTGTGTGCATTGCATGAATATAATGTACAAGTTTCACGTTTTGAATGGAATTACTGAAATATTTTCAACCTTTTGATGATATTCTAATTTACTGGCCAGCACCTGTACTTGTTTTTATTTGACTATTTTTCTGTCCTGCCTGTTTATTATCTTCCTGCATCTCCTCTCAATCCTAAAGTAAAACTGCTACCTGGGTTCATATATATTCACCTCATGAGTTACCTTTGAACTACAGTTCTAAAAGATCTACCGACTGCAAAAACAGCGGAGCGCTCGCTGGCCACATCAGTTAGGTGCGTCACCGAGGACAAAACAGGTGATGTGCCCTGATCCACAGCAGCGAAACGCATCAGGCACAAATAAAAGACGGAAAACATAAAAGGAAATGAGCCGACATGAACGATCGCGTGTTAAATTTGTTTTTGAAGTGGTGACACCTGATTTGATGATGTTACTGTAGCCGTGCTCAGGATGCAGATGTCTGGAGCGCATCAACAATGAGAGTGTTGCATGTGAAAGCTGGTTAAGGTTAGGATGGGGGTGAGGGGAAGGTTAAATTGCAAGAGGGTAAAGGTCACAATTTGGTTAAATGTCCGTTTTACGGCGGGTGTCAGTACCGACGCTCTGGCACTGCGCGTTGCCTCCCGACGCGCAGGAGCTTGTCACCTGCTGACAGCAGGCTGCTGTCTTTTCCGAGGGCTGCATCTTGCCGGTCATTATCACGTGACAGTGACTAGTTGATGACAGGCATAAAAAGTCACTATAGAGCAGTGAAGTTGACTAGTGACTAGTTCATTCAACCCCTACTGCTCCCCAGAGTGTTCTGCAGCATAATCAGCACATTCTCCTTGAACTTGATATCAAATTTTTGCCTGCTCTTCGTCTCCGCATGGTTAAAGTTACCCTCGCGGTCTATCACTGGCAAATCAAAAGTGAGACGGATGACACAACCCCCCCCCCCCCCCCCCCCCGTACTTGCTTGTTACCACATTCCACCCGGCCACAATAAAAAAAACGGCCATTATTCACCTCCGCCGACTCCGACCAAAATATGATACCCGGCAGTTATTTGAATACAGGCCAATATTAGAATTGACGATATATTTCTCCAGTAGGCTGTTGGTGTACATTCATGTTCAGATGTTACTAGCATGACTATTTTGGACCTTTATTAAAGAGTAAAAATAAAAATCATCATAAAATAATTTTTAGTTTTTTTATGTAAATAAAAAAAACACATTTATTTGGCCTGCAGGACTATCAACATGATTTTGGCCCATCTGGTTCAAGAGGAACATCTGTCTGTAACTATATTCTTATTTAGCCGGTTTGATTTATAATCAATAACGAAGATTAAGAAGCACTGCTGATTTTTTTTACCATATCTAGTTTTGAAAAACATGTATGAAGTAAGTGAATGAGACATTTCTTATGAAAAATCACAAATTATTATAATTGAAGCCTTTTTGTTTTATTGTTTTTTAAAAATCTGTTTTTATCATAAGTATTAAAATGCTTTGCATTATTTACAAAGAAACCCTCAGCTGTTTTATTAGTTATGGTTCCGATAAAAAAAAGAACTTTATACAATGAAGGACAAATAATGAATCACAAAGATTTTAAAAATGATTCTCATATGAGTCTAAAGTGGTTAAAACTTTTGGGCTTCATTACCATGCTTAACAAGATCCCATTAGTCCACTTTGAGAAGGTCACAGAGTAAACACCTACTTGGACATCAGAAAAGTATCACTCAGTACTGAAAAAAGCAGCACAAATATATTTTAATAATAATGTATATTTTAATAATGTAAATACATCATCAGTACAATCTGGAAGAACAATCTCCATCCAGATTTAGAATTCATATAATTATTTTTGCTACCTCCAACAGGTTACCGCCAACAGCACTGGCCAGTTTCGAATAATCCCAATGAAGGCGCATTAACGCCTTTAATCTGTGAATCCTGTGTTCTAGATTACTGCTCCATGTCGTTATCATTCTGCAGCGTTTTCATAGCCAGGCCCCACAGAGTCACACTGGAGATAAACTGGCCTTCATTTGACCTAAAAGGCCTGCTGGACCCTGTGAGGGAACTACAGTCTGTGGGAGGCAGGTAGGGTCTCCCTGCTGGATCTCTCTCGATAGACATATTCCCATTCTCCATGTAAGGACCATACACTACCTCTGGAGACGCCTGCTGTTTGGACAGCTTGATGCGATCTGCAGAGAGAAGAGCTACACTTCTCTCCTGGTGGCTGGATGACAGGAGGTGATGAGGAACCAAGGAGCGTAGCTCTGGAAGGGATGTCAGTGCTGGGCTTAAATGCATGCTGGGAGATGAAGTCTCAGCATGTTGTGTTGCTTGTGGTGGTGACGGGCTTGGTGGTGGGGGTTTATCTAACCCTGTGTTAGGCAACATAGCAGAGGAGTGCTGTTCCAGGGTGGTGGCAGGTGGCTTATTGGGGCTGTTGGGCTTGGCGAATGAGGCTGCTCCATCGGAGCTGTCCGTCTGCTCAGAAATGACTGTGACTGTGACTGGGCTGGAGACTGGAGGCCCCTTGCAGTGCATACTACTGTGTCTCCTCAGCATGGCAGAGCGGGTAAAGCTCTTTCCACAGGTATTACACACATACGGCTTCTCACCGGTGTGTGATCGTATATGTCGCTGCAGGTCTCCGGAGCCAATAAAACACTTACCTGCATAAAACGAGAAATATCACATATAAAACATTATTTAAAGCTGCAATGGCACATCTGGTAAACAAGCTGGCTTACATTTTTTTTTCATGCCTCCTAACGACATTCTGGCTATAAATATATTGTGTAGATTCAAAAGGGTTCGAATGAAGGCACCTGGACTTCTTTGGTTCCTTGAAGACCTTTTTTTCTCATCCAAGGAGCCTTTGACTGTAATATAGGCAGGTCAAGCTTATAAACTGTGGTTGTCTGTTGTTTCTTAACGAGCAGAAACTACCTATGAATACCCCTCCTTCTGATGAGTCGTTAGCCTCTATTGTGTGGCAGGCTAACCACTCATCACTAACACTAAGGTTGGCTTCACACCACGCAGTCAGCCCCAGCCTGACTGGGTTAATTACACACATCCTTCCACATATCCATAGGAATGCGGACGTGACTGAGCATATGGGCAGTCTCCGAAATTGGCAGGATTTCATGAGCGCATCTCTGTGCAAGTTGGCAGGGCAAAAGATGCCCAGAGAAGTATGTGGCGTCTCTCATAAATTAAACAAAGGTGGCTGTGTTGCTCTTGGAGACTCTGACTCTGATATTGCATCCTGCTCTGCTGTGTCTATCCTGGCGCAGCTCAAGCCTGGCAGCATTTTTTGTGTGTCTGTGTGTTCTCAGAGAGAGACAGAATGAGACAGCTTCAGTCAGAGGCATTGTTTCCTCAATATCCAGAATGATAAGGAATCCTGCATGTGGGATGCCTCCGCTGGCTAATTTTATCTGCCAATCTGAGGCACCCCATAATGGTAGGCGGGATTTTGAGCCAGCCAATCAGTCGGCAGTAGGTGTGTTGATTCAGTTCAGTCCGAAGCAGACCTTCTTGGGAAGAGGGCTGAAAAAAACGACCGGTTGTGCACGGAAGAAATCCAAGCTATGCGGATGTGAACACTTCTTATCATATTCAGGCGGAGTGGAGCTGGGGCGTGTGGAAGCACTATAAGCAGAGAGGCCCAGAATTCCCTCTCCCCAGCCACCTGGGTCAGCCAGGGTTTGCTTAGCTTTATTTGATTATTATGTAATAAATATATTGGTTATGAACTTGTTGTACTAGTTTTAATGGTAAAACAAAATCTTAAACCTTATTTTTGATTATAATCAGTCACTCAGTTTTTCACACAGGCTGAACATGAGGACATTCTCCTACACCTGTCTCCTGCGTTAGCTTCTGATAGAAAATAGACGATGAAACTCTAGGATTTAAAAATCCCGACATATCTACGTCACACTGTCATTTAACGCTCATGAACTCCCCCATCTTGACTAGTGACGGGGAAAGCTGTTGTTGATTTACTGCCCGGGAAACAGCAGAGAACATCTCGACTAGCAGAAGCCAACCACTAGCATTAGTAACTCCACCACAAAGCAGAACTCCTCCAGGCTTGTGTTATTTGTGGAGATAAAACATCAACGTTGGAGTAAGTGGTAGAGTCACCTTGCTGTCATCCAATCTGAGGCGAGATGTCCAAATATCAGTTAATAAGACTCCAAATCCTGTCGTCTGAAGCTCATCCCTGTTGTGGCTCACTTCCAGTTCCTGAAAATAGTGCACTGATGCTTTTTTCCCTCAGAGTACGACTTACATGGCATTCATGTCTACTAGAGACCGCTCCAATTATACTGATTAAATGAGTGTTCCGCACCTTAAAAATATATGCAGAAAGCAGTGCAAATGCAGAATGTAGGCCTGTGTTTAGTGTCCAGGGAGTAAAAGCTGGTCACTTTGAAAAATACATCTTAACACCCAAATGTAGGGAAAAGTTGTCAGTGTAACTACATAAAACACACACACACACGCACGCACACACACACAGTGTGGTCCTTTAAACAGAGATGGCTTCTTACCACAGGTGGCACAGCTGTGTGGTTTTCCTCCAGTGTGACGAGCCTTGTGCTTCAGAACCTTTCTGTGTGTGTTGAATGATTTTCCACACTGGTCACAGGCAAAGCTCGTGTCAGTTGCATGAGTCATTTTATGCTCCTTCAGATTGCTCAAGTTGTTAAATCCTGCATAACAAGACACGTCAAAAAGCACAAAATGCTATTTTCCAACTAAAGCTTCTACTAGATGTCAGCCGAAGAAAAAACAATGAGCAATTAGAAAACTGAGACAAAACTTTGAGGGATGCAACCTACCTCGACCACATATATCACACAGATGGGGTTTCTCTCCTGTGTGAACCACTTTGTGACGCTGGACATCTCCTGATGCAGTAAAGCTTGAAAAAACTCAGTTTTAGACACTTAAAGACACATTTTAGACTATAAATATGAAGTGTAGTAGTAGTATTAGTAGTAGTACTAAAAACGTATAATTACCTTTTACCACAGAGCTCACAGATGTATGGCTTCTCTCCAGAATGTCGCCTCAAATGTGTCTGTAAATTTCCTGCCTGTAAAGTAAAATGTTACATTAATCTCCATTTAACCCAATAAATACATAATTATAAACCAAAAAAATACCTGTGAGAAGTGTTTTCCACAAATACTGCACTGGAATGGCTTCTCACCTGCATCAACAAAATAATTAATGGTGTTATTGTACATGAGTGGGAATATTAAGCCGTAATAACAGGTAGTACCTGTGTGCGAGCGCTTGTGCAGCTCCAGGTTGCTCGGGTGTTTAAAGATCTTCCCACAAACTTCGCAACAATACTGCTTGTGTCCTGTTTGCAGAGTGGGCTCTGGCACAGGCTTTAAGTTTGTCTTCTTTTGGTTTATAGGAGGAGGACTGGGAAGCTCAATGTCTGCTGCCTCTGAAGCTTCCCCTCTATCTGCAGGGCTGCATTCTACTGGAGGTGCTGGGACTTCACTCCGAGTGATGTTTTCTTCTGAATGGATCTCTTTGGGACAAATGTGGATGGGCTCGATGGCCGCCTCAGTGCACATCTCCTCCAGAGCCTTCTGAGACCGGAGGTAGTTATATTTCTTCAAGTACACTGTCTTCTTGGGACGAACGGTCTTGTTGATCATGGAGTCAGTTGGATCAGAGTTGGAGGTGTTGAGATTATCTGATGGAGTCAAAGACGAGACTGTGCTCTTTTCAGCTGGCACAGATGTACAAGAAAGGTTAGGTTGAGGCACGTTTCCAGAGGTTACAGGAGTGTTGTTTCGACTCTGGCTCATTCCAAGCTGCTCTTCTGATAACACTAAAGGACCTGGGCCCTGGTTTGAAGCTGCACTACTGGTTTGCAGAGCACTTTGTTTGAAGTACTGCTTACTGTAAAAATTACGGAGCTTATATCCATGAACCAGCTGTTTTTCTACAGGTGCATGAGAGCTGCTAGGTATGTCACCATTTGTGCTGTTGCTAGGCAGAGAAACTGGTATCCTTCTTGTGTGGTCCAGGTCACTGTAAAAATTTGGCCTCTGGGATTCAGAGGTACAGTGAAGGTCAACATCATGTGGAAGACCACTGCCCAGAAGACAGTCATGCTCTGAGCTCAGCATGCCTGGGAGGGAAAAGGAAGACAACTCTGCAGGTGGGGGGCAAGGCTTGAGGAAAGCGTTACACATGGTCTGCACATTTGGAACCTGCAAGCTCTGGGCAATGTCCAGAAGCGCTTGTACGTTTTCTTGGTTAACGTCGAGATGGGAGGTATACATGTAATCCAATATTTGACCAATGCCACTGACATCCTGGATAACCAGGTTGAAAACGTCGCTCTTCTGACTTGGAGAGTTTTGGAACAAAGACCTGGAGAAATCCAATTATAAAACAACTCAATCATCTATAGAATCGCAACATGATTAATAGAGAAAGCTAAAAAATACAAAAACATGTGGATTTTTATTCATTAAATTGACTTTAGGGCACCTGAAATAGGAACTGAAAGCAGCCAGGACATTTTTGTGGGCTTTGAAGCAAACACCTTTAACCACCAACATGCAGTCACAAAGAAGTCCCTGAATTCTTTGTTCCTGGAGCTGCTGGAGAAGGTATGAGCTGTGGCTGGACAGGGAGTCCATGGTCACTCAGCTATTGGACCTCTCTCAACTTCAACCTTACATCAGGGGAAAAAGAAGAAGAAAACAGCTTATCTGTAGCTAATGGGTAACAAACAGCTAAACTGGGTTATAAATGCATTCTTCAGCTGATTCTGGATAAACTTTTGAACTTCATATTTTCATCTATTTTGTTCTGTAAACAGCAGATTTCCGCTGGGCCGAGTTACGAGACCAGCCATGCAAAAATAACAAAATGTCTGCACCAAGCGATCGCAGCAGTGCGTAGGAAAATTGGCTAAACGCGAAATTTCTTTAAAAAATAATGTTTTGAAAAGTAAATAAATTAGATTAACTGCCAACAATCAACTTTAGAAATAAACAAAGCCAACAACTCCCTTAATACATTCCTACCTTTCATTGGGATGATGGGTCACTAGACTGTGGTGACTTACGTCACTTCCTGGTACAGCGCCTATTTCGAAACATGAACACAGATAAATAAATATATATTCTGTTTTAATAAAAGGAATTACATGCTTGTAATTTTATTGGTTAAGGTAATCAAACATTTTTGGCATAATGTTTCCTCTCCCAATCTTTTAACGTTATTTTAATAATTGTAGGAACGTTTCTTTGGGAGCATTTTCCTCACGGAAGGCTAATAATGTAGGATTGAATTGCGTGAAGTATACACGTAGGGAATCAGTAAATGTGCTTCTAGGTGTTTTTTTTTAATCCGATAACTTTTATAAAAGCAACGTATGTTGTTCATCCGCTTGAAAATATTAATTGGCAAATATTATTTTCTACTTTTGTTAGTAGGTTTATTTTTTGTTGTCCACATTTGACCGTTAGCGCGTGCCAAGTCTAGCACTGGGGGATTGTTCCACATTGAGCATCAAACGTTGTTTTAACTTGCTTTAAGAAGCTAAAGGCACCGAGACACAGAAGTCACTGAATTGCTTTTAAAATGGTGTTTTTTACTTGCAACGCGTGTGGTGAATCGTTAAAAAAAGCTCAGGTTGAGAAACACGTGAATATGTGTCGTGGTTGCCAAGTGCTGTCCTGTATCGACTGTGGAAAAGACTTCTGGTAATGGCTGGCCGAGTGTTTACAATCCATAGATTTCTGTTCACAGACTTTTCTTAGTGTAAACTCTTCCATGCTTTCTACAGGGGTGATGACTACAAAGATCACAACAAATGTATAAGTGAAAATCAGAAGTATGGAGGGAAAGGCTACGAGGCTAAGGCAAACAAAGGAGATGTGAAACAACAGCAGTGGATTCAGGTAAACTTCTCTCACCGAACGGTGGTTCCTCCATCCATCCATCCATTTTCAGCCACTTATCTGGAGTTGAGTCGCAGGGGCAGCAGCTTAAGCCGAAAGGCCCAGATTTCCCCCTCTCTGGCCACTTGGGTCAGCTTCTCTGAGGGAACCCCAAGGCCTTCCCTTAGGTCTCCTCCCAGTTGGACGTGCCTCATCAACCTCATCAAGGAGGCGTCCAGGAGCTATCCTGACCAGATGCCCGAGCCACCTCAACTGGCTCTTCTCGAAGTGGAGGAGTAGCGGGTCTACTCCGAGCCCCTCCCGGATGACTGAGCTTCTTATCCTATCTCTAAGGGAGAGCCCAGCCATCCTGCAGAGAAAACTAATTTGGCCGCTTGTATCGCCGATCTCGTTCTTTCGATCACTACCCAAAACTCGTAACCATAGGTGAGGGCAGGAACGTAGATCGACCGGTAAATCGAGAGCTTTGCCTTCAGGCTCAGCTCTCTCTTCACCACGACAGATCAGTACAACGCCCGCATCACTGCAGATGCAGCAACAATTCCCCTATTGATCCCACGCTCCATCTTTCCCTCACTCGTGAACAAGTCCCTGTGATACTTAAACTCCTCCACTGGAGGCAGGACCTCATCCCTGACTCAGAGAAGGCATTCTACCTTTTTCCGATTCAAGACCATGGTCTCGGGTTTAGAGAAGCTGCTTTGCACTCTGCCGTGAAACGCTCCAGAAGAAGTTGGAGATTACATTTTGATGAAGCCAACAGGACCACATCATCTGCAAAAAGCAGAGACCTGATCCTCAGGCCACCAAAACAGATCTCCTCAACAACTTGGCTGTGCCTAGAAATCCTGTCCATAAAAGTTGTGAACAGAATCTGTGACAAAGGACAGCCAGGGCGAAAACTACATTGTTCATCCTGAATCTGGCCTTCGACAGTCCAACAGACCCACCTTTACAGAACCCCTGAATAGACCTTTCTAAGGAGTGTGATCTCCCTGTAGTTGAAACACACATTGCAGTCCCCCTTTGTAATTAGGGGGACCACCACTTCAGTCTGCCAATCCAGTGGAACTACCCCTGATGTCCACGCGATACTGCAGAGCCGCATCAACCAACACAGCCCCACAACATCCAGAGTCTTAGGGAACTCTGGGCTCATCCACCTCCAGAGCCATGCCACCGTGGAGTTTTTTTTTTTGGTGACCTCAGTCCCAGAGATTGGAGAGTCCATTCCAAAGTCCACAGACTCTGCTTCCTCCCTGGAAGACGTGCCAGTAGGATTGAGGAAGTGTTCCACCCATCGATTCACAACGTCCCGAGCTGCTTGCCCCTCCTGAGATGCCGGATGGTGGACCAGAATCTCCTTGAAACCATACAGTGGTTTGTTGTTGACTGAAATATTTTGTTAAAATTCAGACTTTATGTATCTTTTTTTTCAGAGAGTACATGAAGCCATGAGCAAACCGGGTATCAGTGCCAAGCTGAAAGATGTGCTTAGACAAGTCAGTACGTATGATAACGTTCCAAGAAAGAAAGCGAAGTTTCAGGTTGGTACAACTGTGAACAGTAACAGTTATTTTCATTTGACGGTCATACACAACTGGATCTCCTTTCAGGTTGAAGGCATTAAGATACAATGATAACATTGAGCAACAATACCCTAAATTCATGATGCTGTTCCCACTAGAAACAGTGAAAGACACTGTTAAAAAGCAAATATACTATTCAAAAAATTAGGTAAAATCTAATAAATGACTAAATAAGGCATCTCATTCTCTATAATACAATCTTTAAAAGTGCAGTCTCTAAATTATAACATAACTAAATAACTATTCACTTAGTACTTCATGGGGCAGCAGCCTAAGCAGAGAGGCCCAGACTTCCCTCTCCCCAGCCACTTGGGCCAGCTCCTCCGGGAGAATCCTTAGGTGTTCGCTGGCCAGCCGAGAGACATAGTCCCTCTGGCTTTGGGTCTCCTCCCGGTGTCCAGAAAAACCTCACCAGGAGGTGTCCTAACCAGATCCCCGAGCCTCCTCGACTGGCTGACAATATTAATCCTGTTTCCTCTTTAATTCTAGTGCATAATAACATGGTATAAGTGTCTGACTGGTTTTTGTAAAGACATTTTGTTTGTTCTTTATGTGCAAAAGTCCATAATAAGGACGCTTTCATTTTGAACACTTGTAAACAATAATGATATAATTCTATAAAGGCCTAAACATGATTACATTTTTATAGTGCCGTTCTAAGTCAAGGGCTTTGCTTTACACACACTTACAAAGCCAACTTCTAACCCTCGCGTCACTGTCACCGACTTACTTCAGACAAAGTATTAATTTAGCAAAAAAATAGCACTTTTTATCCAAATTGCTGTAGCAGATTTACAGACAAAATTGTGGTTTTGACTTTTTAAAGTTAGATTATACCATGTAACAAGTCCATTCCTAGTAAATAGTTTCACTTTGTGAAAGTTAACCATTTTATTTTCTTTCTTTTTAGAATTGGATGAAAAACAGCCTTAAAATAAACAACACGAGTCTACATGATGAAGTGTGGGAGATCATTTCTGCTGCAGACGTAAGTTCTGAGGGTTCTTGTATGAATGGAAGGCAGCAGTAGCTCAACAGGTTGAGCGGGTTGTCCAGTAATCGGAAGGTTGCAGGTTTGATCCTGGCTCCGGACAGAGAATTCTGCTGTTGTGTCCTTGGGCAAGACACTTAACCCACCTTGCCTGCTGGTGGTGGTCGGAGGGACCGGTGGCGCCTGTGCTCGGCAGCCTCGCCTCTGTCAGTGCGCCCCAGGGCAACTGTAGCTACATTGTAGCTCATCCCCATCAGTGTGTGAATGTGTGTGTGTGAATGGATGAACGATACACTGTAGTGTAAAGCGCTTTGGAGTCCTTACTCTGAGAGGCGCTATACAAGTGCGGGTCATTTATCATGTTGTCAATGCAGCTTTCCACTGAAGTTACAGCCCTGACTTGAGTCCATGTTTGTTTACTTGTTGGGAATAATGCTGAGTCCTAATTTCATTGGTGAAAGTGGCTGAAAACATGCTTTTGATGACAATCTATCAGTTAGAATTTGCCCGCTACTTAGATTTTTGAAAGTTATTAAAGTTTTTTCTTTGTTTCTACAGTAAAAACTTATAGCATTCATTAGTTTTCTATTTCTGTATTTTATTGCTGAAAAATGCCAAGAGATCAGAGATTTTTTTTGTCCTGAATAAATCTAATCTGACTGACAAAGTCTAGATTTCATTAAAAAAAAAAAAAGAATAGGACAGCGGGTTCTTTAGTGAGGTCCTGATCAGGAGAGACTTTATTAATGGAACACTTTCCAGATTTGCATCTAAACCTTAAACTTGGTTTATGGCTGAAGTTCAGGCCACCTGAACAAGAGGAAGGCTGGAAAGCTTATGTAAGTGTTTGCAACACGTTAGGTCTGACTTACTAAAATAAATGAATATTGTTTTTGTCACCATAATAGAAAAAAAAAGAGACTGATGGATGAAATCTGATCATTTATCGAGTGGAATTTGACAGATTTCTTTATTCATTTATTTTTCTCTTATTTACCTTTATTGATTGCTACATCATCAGCCACTTTATCAATTAGTGTTTAAAAGTTAGCCTCCCTGCTGCTGTGGTTTTACATAACCACAGAGGCTTCGGCACTAATATAAATACTGACAAAACCTTATGGTGGTGTGAAAAGCAAACTTAATGATGCACACCACTTCTGTGCAATACTGTAAGCATCTCATGCACACTTTTAAACAGATCACCACTTTGTGAGTGTCTGAATAAGCCCCTAAAAACAATAATATTCTATAAATGACTGAACTAACTTTGACGGACCGATAAAGCTTCTAATCAGATGTTTATCTGGCTTTTGTTTCTTGTTGGTTAATAAAACAGGTTTTAGTTTAACTTTCATTGCCCTCTCATCGTCTTTCAGGCTCCTGAGACCAAACAGCTGACTAACGGAAATAAAGAACCAGCAGCTGAAGTCCAGTTAGACACTAATGGAACTGAAAATCAGGGGGACCAACCCGAAACTGGGGAGAAGAAGAAGCTGAACAAACGGGAGCGTAAAGAAGCTCGTCAGCAAAAGAGTGGAAAAACTACAAAGTGTGACAAGAAAACAGCAGCTGAAGAGCCAGAAAAAGACCAAACGGACAAGAAGAAAAAGAACCAAAAGCGAAAACACCAATACGAAGAAGCAGACGGAGAAGAGCAGAACGAGAACAGTAATGACTATCAGAGTTCTCTCAAGAAAATCAAGCGTAAGTGTAGACTTTTCCTTATATTGACTGTTTTGACATGCATACTGTCCATCACTGAGCAGCATGCATGTTTTGAAAAGTACGTAAATCAAAGTCCTTTTTTTGTGAAGCAGCAGAAGTTTCTGACGTTCTCATGGAAGAGGATGCTGGGGAGCAAGCTGTTACTCAAGGTAAGGTGGTTTAGTAGTTCACCCTCAGAACCAGTCAGGGTTGGAACACATTTGTTTCATAGTACTTAGAACTGGTACTAAACTTAAAAAATGTTGGTAAAACCAGCAGGTGTCAGTGTTGCCTTTTAGCTCATAATGAGGAAATGACCCTCAGACAGTTTCATTTGTCTTGAAAATTAGATTAATGTTTCTGGTCCAACTTTCAGGCAAATTCAACTGGAAAGGAAACATTAAAGCTGTGCTGAGAGAGTCACCTGACCAAGAGCTGCCAGTGAAGAAGCTCCGGAAGAAGGTGAGGCACTATGGGTCGTTTCTGTGTGCATTAGTTTGGTGTTGCCTGTTAGTCTAACAGACCCCTGAGCACATTGTGCTTGTCTTTGTAAAGATATATTCAAATTAAGACTTGACATTATTTAAATAACAAGTCCTATCGTGTTGTCTTTCAGATTTTGGCTGCATATTATGCTTTCACCGGTGACAGGAATCTCAAAACAGAAGAGGACTTGTTGGTGCTTTTCAACAAGAAAGTCAATAAAAATCCCAAATTCAGAGTTTTGAAAGATCGAGTCAAACTTCTAAATTAGACTGTCTTAGAATGTAATAATTAAAATGTCCATTGCTACAATTCCATGTTGTACCTTGTATCTTTTTATACTTTTGACACAATCTTGCAGATCAAACGGTTCAACGCCCTTGGCCTGGTTACTGTAATTCACTCGATCTTGCTTAGAACGTGCCAGTGTTGTTGAATGTATAAAATGACAATGTCGATGGCAGGATAAGCTGTTGCACATTCCAAGCTCACGGTAAGGCCGTGAAATGGCACCTTATCTGTGGGATTGGATGTTGAAGTGGGGAGAAGGGAAATGGGAGAGGGGCACCCAAGGTGAATTGGACTCTCACACGGGATGAAGCTAATGCACATTCCTCCGCACTGCGAACGGGGTTCACTTGGCCGGGGACACAGAAGCTCCATAGAAGCAAAATGCGTGGTGTCAGCCTCGGGTGAAGTTTTAATGCTTTCTGATCTTCCACGGATGGAATGAGCAGTCTTCTTACTCTGTGTACACACACACACACACGCATACACACACAAGAGTAAATCTGGCCTGCTTTATGAAGCTTTTCTAATCCCAGCAGGTTTAACACTGATGCTCATTCATCACACTGCTTACTTGTAATAGTATATTGCATGCTCTGGGTTTTAGTCAACCTGCCGTTCAGGTTTGCAGGTATTAAAATAATGTTTTCTAGCCCAGTGTGACTCAGTGGGGTTTAATTCTTGTATTTTAATCCAGACCACACGAGATACTGAAATTAATCCTGTCTGGTGAAGGGAAAAAAAAATGTCGCTTTTATAGGGATGATTCATGAATTCTGGCGGTTGGTCATACATACCAGCACTCATATAATGTCCATCTCATTTACTTTTATACACATGCAAATTTTACACAAGATAATAATCAAATTAACAAACATTAAAAAATGTATTCTCTGATTTTTACTTTAACAGAAACATAAAATGCATAGGCCTAATAGTGGACAACTGTTGTAAAAAGTTGAGACGTTTTACTAAAGCAATGTTCTGGATTTTTTTTTTCTTCTTCTGAGAGTTCAGACACAGTGAATCAAAGATGAAAGCTGATTCTACAAAGATAATGAAAGCTGACTAAAATTAGAAGCAGCACTGTCAATGTAAAACAAGTTATTGAATAAGTTACTAACTTAAAAACTCGTGACACGTTAATTTAATCGTACAAATAATAAACCACAAAATAATTCGGCAAAACAGCTAAAACTATTCTGTATCAATCACTGTTGACAAGAACTACAACCGTCGCCTGTTCACGCGCGTCATCAAGAAGCGACTGGGTTTTGTTTTTGTCAGGAAGTGCCTTCAAATCATTTGCCTCCAGAGCTAATGTCCGTAAAGAACAACATGTTTAATGACAGTGAACTTGCAACATTGCGAAACAGATTTAAAAGAGATGCGGAATTTCTTATGCAAACAACGACGGCAGCGACAGGCGAAGATGACAAGAGTAAGCTAACCTGTGTTATGCTGGCTAACCTGATTAGCTAAACTAGTTCTTCAAAGCCACCTCTTTTCTTCATGTCAAGTTAGCCATACAATAAAATGGCTTTGTTATTGTGTAATAATGTTAAAAGCTGTAGCTCTTATCTACAAACATATGAGATAAACAACAAAGATGAAAGAGTAAAAACTATCTTGGCTTAATCAAAGAAGACATACCTGCTCTGATGTTAGCTGTTATGAACACTTTCTGAGACATTAGATGCACTTCCAGCTGCCTCCCACAGAGTCCCACCTTTCCAACGTTTCACATCACGTAAAGTTTAGGAAGATTAAGAAAAGCAATTTATAAAATGGATTGTTTGATAGCTTGAATGTTTAATTAAAAAAACCCTTGTGCATTATAATTATTTCAACAGTACAAAAGCAGAAGGAAGACAGGTGCACATGCCATTTTTTAACCTCAAAATCGACTGATGGTGTGTTCAGTTATAGTATTTTAGACATCCTGTTGCCTTTTACTGTAATCTAGGTTTCGTTAGTTCTGATTGTGAAATGGCTAACATGAGGTGTCTTGTTGGCGGTTTGGACAGTGGACAATCGCCCAACTTTGAGGCCCTTACTGGGAAAAATCCGATAATCCTTAATTGTTTTGTCTGTGAACAAAAGCAGTCAGCTCTGCAACATGATACAGAGAAACTCTATTCCCCAACCGATCCAAGGGTCATTTCATTGTGCTCTTTCATAACTGTTTATACAACGTCATCCTGGTCAAAAGCTGATTTGAAGCAAGCATATTTTTTCTGTAGAGCTTCTAACTTTTAGGTCTATGTTTATTGAAGATGCTGGAGCAGCAGCTTGTTTAGGCCATTGAGTTTACTGAGAACTCTCAACATGCCCAGCAACTTCGGCAGCCAAAAACAGGCTTTGATATGTTTAATCAACCAGTAAATTATATAGATTAATAGCTTTCTGAAAGGTAAGATTATCTTTAAAAATATATCAATTCACCCTCAAAAGCTGCTTAAATCTGAAAGGAGATTTGTGCATTCTGTTAAGACTAAATCTCATATCCAGCTGTAATTGCTCCACAAAAACTGTAATCTTCTCAGTGCCTCTTAGTGTCCTAGCATGTCATATTTTTGAGTCTGGCTTGTGTATAAATCTAAATAATGACTACCACATTAACAAACATCTGATCTGTGACACTGAAGTGAACATTTATTGTAAATAGGTATGACTCTGTTATATTCTGCCAGTAAAAGTAAAAAAAAAAAAACCTAATTGTTAACCTTTGATGTCTAATTGTAATAGATATTTTATTTACTACATTGTTTTTCACTCGTTTCAAAGCTCTAACCTTTGTGTTACCTGTCAGGCCCGGAGGGAAAGGACGACAAACCACTCCCTCGCATCAACAGGCACTCTGTTTTCTGGATCGTGGCCTCTGTAGTTGTGACCTACTATGCAGATTTCCTCCGTGTCCTTATGGAAAATAATGATATCAAAAGGTAAAATTTCAATAGGAAATAGAAAAAGCTCTGAAACTTGCTGTTGCAGTAGAAATGGTAAAATTTTGTATTGTTAATATTTTATTATTAACATTGTCAGAGTCTTGTGTGATAGCTCAGAACCAAGGGTGTAACCCCACCTGCCAAAAGTAAAACTAAGAAGTGACAAAAAAAAGCTGTTCCACCCTCATCCTCTAGGGGCTGGCTCCAGAAAGGAGCAAGTTCCCATTGACATGAAGACCTCACACGGCCTTTAATAAGGGAATTTCTGTTTGTAAAATTCAAAAACCTGTTAACAAGAAACATCAATGGCTTGAATTTTACACAAGGATTTGTTAGTCTTTACTAATCTGGGTGGAGTTGGTTAATTTGGAGACAGTGATTCCACAGAAAGACTGCTTTACTTCCAGCTAGGAAACATTTACCACAACTGCTTGTCTGAGAGGATTCAACGTCAGAGAAATTGCACAAAAACACCTCAGACTTAGCACAACTCAGCAATGTGTTGCAATTTATGGCAGTACAGTTAGAAGAGTGTTGTCAAGGGAGACCTTCCTGTGTAAATATATTTATTGAAGACTGGCTCCTGCTATGATCTCTGAAATTATTTTCTTTAAACAGATGTACTGGTGACATGTTTCTTCATAATGCACAGTGCAGGTACTTAACCTACACGATCAAAGCACCTCCCAGTCATTTATACAGTTTAAACTCCTCCCAATATTAAAGTAATCTTTAGACAAACGTGAGAACCTCGGTCGGTAGCTTTGTCAAAATTCAGTCAAGCAAAAGGACAATGATCCAAAGCTTATAGCTAAAATAACACCTCTGAAGGAGAAAAGGTATTATAGTCACTCTCTTAAAGATCTAACCTCAAACTGACTGAAGTACAGGGGCTGGTTTTAGAAAGCTGTGCTCAAATGGGTTCCCTCAGTTCAAAACTGAAGTTCCCACATTAGTATGAGGACTTATTTGTCTCCGTAACAATTTGAACGCTTCCGCAGGTCATTCAAAAGTTTATTATGCAACCCAGCTGCTAAAGGTGCTTCTACAGGTGGTTGAGCCATATTTGTTTTTCCACACACAATTTTTTCCTGTTAAACATATTGAAATGACTTTGTGTAATAATCTATACACTCTTCTCCTTAAAGATGCATCTACTAACCTTAAAGCCAAATTTGTGTTTTTTTAACACGTTAGAATTTAAATGAAGGCTTCTTATATTTGCTAGACTGTATATTGTGCGTAAATGTCACGTACAGGCAGAAGGACAGTTCTAGGAAGGCCGTTGTTTGCCCAATAAGTGTTTTGTTATAGTCATTGTTGCACGGGGTTTTGTTCTATTAAAATTCCTGAACAGAGCATTTAATACAAAGGAAACCACAGATATATGAAACCATTTGAAGGCTGTTTTGTGATGTGATACCCTTTTATTTTTGGCACTGTCCGTCCACAGGTGATGCAATAATGTGTCCTGTTTTGTTCCTCTAGCTGGTGGTTTAATGTTGGCCTGATGCTGCTTGGGATCTGCTTGTCTCTGGCAACGTTTTGCATTGTGTACCTAGAGTGGGTGAGGGGCATTCAGCACTATGAACAAGAATACCCTGCCATTCCTCCTATTACCACTGCAGCCTTCATTGCAGCATCGTGCAGGTAAAAGGCAAACATAAACCACACTCTCCACTAACACAACAGCACGGCTTGACAAAAACACAATCCAGTCCATTCAGAGCAAAGTTTAAATTCGTCACCTAATGTTGATATTTGACACATTATTTATAACAAGAAGGACGAAGAAAACCTGTAAATTACGGATTTACTGGAACTTGATTTTAGGCAGGAAAAGGAAGACATTTAGCCTTTAAAAATACAATAAATAAGCTAGATCATTACCACTCAGTGTTTAAAAGAATCTGTTCCTTGTACACAGATTAGAATAAACATGACTTTTTTTTTAATTAAAATAATGCCTGAAGGCCATTGAGTTCAGTTTCTTTGGTTGGAAATGGGTTTGTTCGTCCCGCACTTGGAATATTATCAAATATTTGTATTATTTTCATTAAAAGTGAGCTGGTTACAGTTTACTATTACATCATAGATGCAAATATTCAAACTATGAGACTATTTTTGTTAAGATATTTACAGTTGAAATTTGTGTAAAAAACTATGAGGTTATTTCAACAATTTTTTGTTTATAGACTCCTGCTAAACAAATAAATTAAAAGGATGAGGTACACCAGCATTAACACTAGATATAAAAGCAACGCATAACATCCATGACGCTTAGTAGCCTCCATTGTTGTAAATGGGTGTGCTTCCACCCGCCTCGGCCCAAAAGCATATTGTTGCATCACTTTGCTAAATTTTTACTTTAGGCTTATCTTTTATGTGCTATGTTAGCAGAATGTGTCTAGCTCAGCAGCAAATCAGGCCAGAAAAGAAAGTCAAGCATGGCAGCGGTGTCAAACATCTGGCAACTTTCAAAATAAAAGGCATGTGCAGATTTTCTGATTTACTTGTGACTCCGTGGCTGTGGTAAAAAGAACAGAAAATAAACCCACAAACCTTTACGACACATGCCGCCTGTTACAACCTAGGAGTATGATTCTTGCTTGAGGTGCGAGAGGTCCCAGGTTTGAATCCCGGACGAGACCCCATTTATGTTACAACCCACATGTGTGATGGTGGGTGTGAAAGAGGGGCATAAAGCTTCAAATGGAGGTCAGAGTTGTTACAGTCAAAATAGTTTATCTATTAAAGGCAACTTAAAAAATTGAAGCATTTCTAACAAATCTTAACAAAAAGGGAACACGGTAAAACACATGCCTAATCTATTAATCTAATAAGATAACAAAAATAGGGTGATTTGCTGATTTACTAATTCATCCATCCATCCATCCATCCATTTTCATCTGCTTATCCGGCATTGGGTCGCGGGGGCAGTAGCCTAAGTCGAGAGGCCCAGACTTCCCTCTTCCCGGCCACTTGGGTCAGCTCCTGCAGGGAAATCCCAAGGCGTTCTCTGGCCAGGTGAGAGACATAGTCCCTCCAACGTGTCCTGGGTCTATCTTTAGGCCTCCTCCCAGTTAGACATGCCCAGAAAACCTCACCAGGGAGGCAACCAGGAGGCATCCTGACCAGATGCCCGAGCCACCTCAACTGGCTTCTCTCGATGTGGAGGAGCAGCGAATCTACTCTGATCCCCTCCCGGATGACCGAGCTTCTCACCCATTCTCTAAGGGAGAGCCCAGCCACTCTGCGGAGAACACTCATTTCGGCCGCTTGTATCTGCGATCTCGTTCTTTTGATCGCTACCCAAAGCTCATGACCATAGGTGAGGGTAGGAACGTAGATCGACCGGTAACTCGAGAGCTTCGCCTTCTGACTCAGCTCTCTCTTCACCACGACAGACCGGTACAACGCTCGCATCACTGCAGATGCAGCACCAATCCGCCTATCGATCTCACGCTCCATTTTCCTTCACTTGTTAACAAGACCCCGAGATACTTAAACTCCTCCACTTGAGAAGGCATTCTACCCTTTTCCGAAACAAGACCATGGTCTCAGATTTACTGATTAAACAAAAACTCAGTGAAATCCACTACTTAATAAGATATGATTATGAAGACTAAAAAGTGAAGTGATTGTCCATGGTGCTGATCTGGAGGACAGCAGAGCGAAGCTGGCTTCGGTGCTGAAGAGGCCATGTGCCGTCTTTTTCGTTGCTTGTCATCATGTGAACTGCCAAAATCACGTGTGATCTTGCAATTGTCTGCTGATTTTGTGACGTCACAGGACCAGATGCATGGAACACTTTTGCTGCCGATTCGTATCAGAAATGCTGCTGGTGGGAAGGAATGTGCCGCTGTGGTTGCAAGGAATACATCTTTTACGTTGTGCATTGCTTACTCATCTATTGGAAAGCTGGGGTTAAACATCACTCGGGCTGTTTTAGCCACAGATTAAAGGCCGTTGAAATTTTTTTGTATTTTTTAGTTGAAATAAATTGTGTTTAAGCTTTTTCTTTTGCTCTTAAAACTTGTGGGTGATTTTGTTTTTAACGAATGAGTAAAAGTTTATTTTGATCGCACAGTTATCCATTTATTTTCCAGTTTTGTACTGTTTGAGTTTCACACTGTACATTCACAGACTTATTGGGATGATCTGGAGCCATAGCTTATAGTTTTCCATCCCTTCTAGTTTTGCACAAATCACAATTTTTTTAAATAAATATTTACTTTTTCAAGTTTTTCTGGACTGTTATTCCCTTGTTTAGACATTTTACTTCTCCAATTCAGCACATCATTTGTCCAACACACGTTGATGGTAGCAGCAATAGACGTAATTGTTTGCAATATTAATAATAACAATGTGTCAAGGTTGAAAAAGTCAGGTTTCATGTTGATAGCTGTAACAACGTGACAAACATCCTTTTATTACCACCTAATCTTATTTCATTTTTGTTTACTTTTTTTTTTCCAGTTTCAACATCGCGCTGTGGCCGGTGTGGTCCTTCTTCACTCCACTCATTCTCTTCACGCAGTTTATGGGTGTGGTCATGCTCATCTCTTTGCTTGGATGAGCGATTCAATGTAGGAATTGTATTTTTTTACTATTTCAAGGTACTTTGAACCCCTTTTATATTTCCAGATTGGACATTGTTGAAACAGAAGAAACTTACAAATATTTAGAATAGTCCAGATGCGTTTAGTTATCTAGTTTGGACCGCAGCATGATGAATTACACACTGTTTCATTATTATCAAGTGTGCAAAATATAGCTAGGATGATTTTAGAACAGATCGGCAACATTTTTATCCCAAATCGACATAAATCTTAAACATTCATCAGTTCAAGCAAGCTCTTTTGTTTTGATTTTTTTTACTTTTCTCGGAAAACAAAAAGATTGTCACTTTGGTTAACTTGAACGTGTTTCTGTATCACAGCTTCTTATTCAGGGACAGCGTTAAATAAAAGACCTGTGTTGTAACGAGTGTATCTGATGTAAAAGTAACATGTTGGGAATGTTTACAATATAACTTTCAGTCCAATACCTTTGTTGTCTTCTCAGTTGAACTTGTAGCCAATGGTTGTGAATGTAATGACTTGCTTGTGTGGTTTCTAATTTTAGTGGTTTTCCAAAGGAAGAAGGAGAAGAGATGTTTGGGGCCTGTTGAGATCATTTAAACCCTGGTTCCCTGACCCACCATAGTTTCCGTGCTGACCTGCTTCTCCACCACACTCCAATGCCGTCCTTATCACTTGATTCCTTTTGGACGAAGACCTTGGGAGTAATCCCGTCAACGCACCAGATTTTAACAGAAGCGCTTTAATGTGATGGCTTGTTATTGTTCTCTGCCTTTTTGTGTTTGCAGCACATCTTAAGTAATTTAATGGAAAACAGCGCCAACAGTAACAACACAAGACTCATGACATAGTTGTAGTAGTTGTATTTCTTTTAACCGTTAACAAATTGTGTAGCAAAATGTTGACATTTGCTTGAATAGTATTTTTTTTACTGTATTTAATAAACTTTTTCCAACAATTTTTAATGGATACACAAAAAAGTAGATTTGTAAGCTTTAAAATAAATTACACTCTTATCATTTGTTAAAGGCGGTGTTGACTGAAATAACAATTTTTTAATGATTGTTTCTGTTTATAATCAGTGTCTGGATTTTTCATGCAGGCTGCACATGAAACAGTCTCCTTCACCTATCTCCTGTGTTAGCTTCTCAAAGAAATGAAAATCCTCAAATGCCTATGTCACACTGGGAATTTGCATTCATGGCCTCGCCCATCTAGGCTTGCGCTGACCACAGGAAGGCATTAAAAAAAAGATTTACAGCGAGGAGAGAGAGTGTCTAGGTGATAGTGACTTTGCAACATGGCTGAATGCATTCTGTTAACCAATCAGAAGTGAGGTGTGTGCATATCAATAATAATAATGAGCAATCCTGCTGTTTTCAGCCCACCTCTGCACCAGCACACTTCTGCAGAACAGGAGCATCATGGCGTTTTTTAACATGTCTCATAAGGTATTGATATACACTAGAGAACACTGCAAATTTATTAAGTAAACGAGTAAATCACACCTTTTAAGGACAACATGTGAGAAGTCTTACCAAAGGATTAGTTCTTTACTTGAATATCACAAAAATGTTTGATGAGCAGCATTTGGTAGTGGCTCTGCATCTTACAAATGTGCAAAAACCATCTCGAGAACAACTTAGATTTTCCAACAATAAAGTTGTTAAATAATTGGTTGCGGTTTTAGAATACTAGTTCAGGTTTTTGGTTATTAGGAGCCAGAGAGAAATGTTTAATAAAAAAAAAAATCCATTGAGGTGTCACATCATTGTCGTTAGTATGAGATATGAGCTACAGAAAGTGGCTCCTTGGCTCCATCACAGTTTATTTTATTTTTATTTTTTTGGGAGAAAATTTTCCTGTTTCTTAAAGGTGCTTCCAAACCTTTTCTTTCCTGAAATGGGGTGAAAATATTTGTTACTTTTGTCCTTGGGATAAATTTTTATTGAGTATCAGTTATTCCTTCTTCCATTCATAAGCTGTCTTTGCAGCAGCCACAGCCTTCCATCTGCTACCCAAAGCTGTCTTTCCTGGGCGGGTCATAGTTTTGAAAGAGGCCAGAGGTTTTCAGAGAAAGACAAATGAAAGACTGATTATTCTGCTTTTGAGTTCTTGTTCTGGCGAGCAAAGGGAATAGCTAGGTCATTATCTTGGGTTTGTCTCTGAGGACTACACAGTGTATGTTTCTATTCTCTAGAGTGCAAACTAAAATGAGCCCAGTAGTTTATTTTTGCACATTGCATTTGCTTTCAAGGATCATCTCCTCTATGTATTCTAGACGTTTTGGGAACATTTCCTTCAATTTGTAAAGATGACTCCATTATTTAAAACAACTGCTTTAATGGAATGCATGACTTGTATAATAAATATCTTGATTTGTGTTTTGTTGATGATGGGGTGCTAAAAGACGCTTCTAAATTAAACCAAAATGCTGAAACCTAATCTATTACCTGTTAAGGAGCGCTGATGAACAGATATTTCTGTTATCATTGATCAAAAAGACCATGCAGGCTCAACGGATGCCCTGATTAAGAGCTTTACCTTGATCATCTTTCCAGTCCTCGTGATGTTTCTGTTCATAATTGCGTGAGCGGAGATATAAATGATAAATGACCCGCACTTGTATAGCGCCTCTCAGAGTAAGGACTCCAAAGCGCTTTACACTATCATTCATCCATTCACACACTGATGGTGATGAGCCACAATGTGGCCACAGCTGCCCTGAGGCGCACTGACAGGCGAGGCTGCCGAGCACAGGCGCCACCGGTCCCTCCCACTACCATCAGCAGGAAAGGTGGGTTGTGTCTTGCCCAAGGACACAACAGCAGAATTCAGGGTTTGGAGAGCTGGTTTTCAGCTTCAAAGCGCACTGGAAATGCGCAGAGATCATTTAGGTCCGTGTGTTTTACATGCGTACTTATTTGTGTAATTTGACTTTGGTACTAATTTACGTAGAAGTCGGAAACCGTTTGGGTTACCTCTAGTGCAGAGATCACTGAAGGCGGGGGTTTGCGCATCCAGCGTGCGTAATGACGCACGGCTCTGTCACTCTTTAGCTTTTGTAAAAGCCGCCACCCATAGTGGGCTCCTAAGATACATGTTCTGTGATGTTATGTAAAGGTGTCTTACATGATCAACATTTTAAAGTATGTCATTAGTTTTTATATTGTTGCAGCCTCACTGGGATTTTATTGTCGCTGTTAAAAAGTAACGTTTTAACCTAAATTAAATTTGACCTGATATTAAATACTGGATGGGACAAAAGAAAACATGACTTTTGTGGTTTTTTTTCCAATTTGTTTTCTCATGACTGTCTTTAAATCATGACTCCAGTTCAAAAGAAAATTTTACAATTATTTTTATTTATTTTAGTGTCTTCCAAAAAGTTCTAGCTTTTTCTGTTTTCTTCTCTGTTGTCTTGTTATTTATATTTTAATTTCTCTATAGTCTGTTTTCATAAGTCACTGTCTGGTCCTTACGCCGATAATGTCAGATTTCTTCATAAAACAGCTGCTGTTTGTAACATTTTGTTTATGTTGCCTGGACACGGTGTGGATGGTTACACCATGCAGCTCCACGTGGGCAGTCCTACCTTTTGTTATTCAGATTGCGCGCATCCGCCCATTTATGCCAAATCTTTAAAAGTTCTGGTTTCCGACGGTCCAATCAATTTTTCATAACTTCCACTCACAACACTGACAGCTTTATTTTATTTCGCTTGGCTTTTGTTGTAAAATGTTCTCTAATCCTCATTAGCACTAAGATCAAACTCAGAAGTAAATGTGTTTTTTTATTTGAACAGCTCACCTGAAACGATTCCAGAGGAAAGATTTGGAAACAGTCGCGCTGAAAACTCGGATTTTTTGAATTCTTGATTTTTTTGGTAACCCCTTGCTTCGGGTTCTTTCTTTTTTAGACAATGAATGGTTGGCACAGTAATTTCAGCTGATGTCTTTGAAACGCATGGGAGTTAGAGTGGACGTCAAGGATCACCAAGGACTGAAACGCAATCTCTCATTTAATGCGACTCAGAGAGCTTATTAGACGTGCAGATATTTGTGTGTGAAGTGTGTTTCAGGTTCAGGCCTACAAGGTGAAACTGGCTTCTATCAAGCCCATCCTCAGTGAGGCTGGACATCGGAACTGTGCGTAACCACTGAGCCGGACCTTCAAGATTGAATTCATGTTTGGCTCACTTTGTATCCGTCTGATTCAGCACCTTGTCGGAAACGCACCTGGCCTCCCCCTCATGCACTTATAGGGCACAGCTCTGGCTTTTCTCCTAGCACTGCGATTATTGCACAAAACTCTCAATCATGGTGGAGCACGGTGGTCTGAATATTCTGAGGCTGAACAAGTACCGTCGCAGCTCCTCGTCCTCTCCCAGCTCCATGAGACAAAAGAGGACTTTCGGCAACCTAAACATCCGTTTGTCGAGTGAATACCCGAAGAAGAATGCGGAGTTCCTCAGCGGACAGTACGGTACCAATCTGCTGCTGATCGGGGTGGCGTTGATGCTGGCCATCTCCCAACATGAGCCCTCCGTGAAGGAAGAGGACCTGCTATCCTTCGCCACCGGCTTGATGGTTCTCCAGCTGATCTGGATGACGTGGTACATCCTGGTGCGGCACAGGCAGAGCAGCACACGCACAGAGAGGGACGTCAATGCCACCACATGCTGGATCAGAGGTAAAATGTTGCAGAAAAAAAAACAGCTCAAAAGTTTTTTTTCAATGCGCGGTGCGTATTTACGCGCATCCAAACGTTCCCAAACTAAAGGAATTTTGTTTTCATTTGTTAAGTGCGTTAAACTGTAAACATAAATGTATTTTTTAACCTTCTAGGTGGTTTGACTCTTCTTGCAATCGTCTCATTGATCATGGACGCACTCCGAATCGGTTACTTTGTCGGGTACCGGTCCTGCGTCTCCGCCATGCTGGCGGTATATCCCGTCATTCATGCAACTCACACCGTAGCGCAGGTAAGTTTTCAGTCCTGGCTTCATTTCAATAAAGTGATAATCCACCATCAGCGCTACAACCTGGACCTTTATTATCTGCGTGCCACTGAGGAACTTTGGATAATGTGCTCTTTGTTGCAGCAACAATATAGTCCTAGCTTTCCCATGTTTTTTAGTGTAACTTCATAGGGCAAGGCAAATCTTTGGGCTAAAGGGACTGTATCACTGGTGTAAAGTTTAATTAATTACTAGAACACGCAATAGTGAACATTTCCCTTTAGTAAAATCTCTAACCCCCTTTTTTATACCAACAATTCTCTTCAGGTTCATTTTCTTTGGTTTCACATCAAGGATGTCATCAAGAGCAATGAAACCTTTGAGAGGTAAACCAAGTCTGCAATATTCATGCAACATTTTATCCTGCATGGTGTGGCTGCTGCATGATTCTTTATTTCCCACATTCTGTTAAACAACTGTCTGTCTGTCTCCTCAGATTTGGTGTAATTCATGCAGTCTTTACCAACCTCCTCCTGTGGTGCAACGGTGTGATGTCAGAGACCGAGCACTTCATGAACAATCATGTTAGAAGACTAACTGCCATGGGATTTGAAAATATCACTCTAGGTGAGGGCCAAGGGGTTGATTGGTGACTTGTATAAGGAGCAGGAAGGCACAATAGTCTGCTTGAGAGCTCAAGTCAAGGGATGAAAGGAAAGTGAAAGAGAGGAAGGTTTAAGAGGGGAAGGGAGGGAAGCTTAGCTGCTAGTAGGTCTTGTTTGTGTCCAGCGTGTCTCTCTATTGGGTTTCACAGGAAACACCGATTTGCTGGTGCCCCCCCCACCCCCACCCCTCCCTTTTGTGACCCTGTCCCCACACTTCAGCCACCACTGCCCTCCCTGGCAACCCCTCGCTTGACCCCAGACGGCTTTGTCACAAGGCTACTTAGTCCCAAGGGTGCTGCAATTACAGTAAGTGATACATCTAAGCCTTGGGTTGGGGGTTCAGTTGCTCCTCCTCATATCCGGCCGACTGTGAGGGTGGCTGCACCTTGACTGCCGTCCCCCCTTTTAATTAAAAGGTGCAGCGCCACGGTGGTGGCCTTTTTTTGGACTGAAGGGCAGAAAAGGGGGGTAGATGGAGGGACTGGGGGCACACGGCACGGTTTTGTTAAGATGTGCCCCTGAGGGCATCCAGTAACCAGAGTGTGTTGGTGTGGGCTTCACAAGGAGTGAGTAAGTATAAAACATACATTCATCAGCAGGCATAGAGATGATGGGTGAAATTTCACATGGGAAAAATTGGACTGATTAGAAATGAACACAAGTGCAAAAAAGACACTTATACTGGCTCATTTAAGGCTTACTCCCGGAAATGTAGAGGCAACATTCATTACATGAGCAACTACTCATAAAATAAATGTCAATAAAGAATAATCTGGAAACTTAAAGAGCAAGTCACTCCAAATCAAGATTTACTGGCTGATAAACTATATAAATGAGTGTCTGATTGTGCTGTAGACAAATGTGGTCAATAATTCGGCGCTTTAGTGCATCTTTGTTAAAATTTAAATATTCTGCCTAAAACTGTCAGCGATGCACCGTCGTCAGCACTGCATTTGAATTTAAATCTGCCATCTCTATTGGCTAAGAGGTACACTATGATGTTAGATGATACATTATGATGTCACGATGATTTGAGTGTGTATTTGTTAGCAGCTCCGCCCTCTCGGTCTGCTAGGCAACAGCATTTGTTGCATTTTTCAAACTGCAAGTGGGAGTAAAGAATCTGGTAGGCATGACTTGCTCTTTAATGTAACTTAGATTTACTATAAGTAGCTAAAACACAGTTTTCTAGTGAACGTTTATTTATTTGTTTCACTATACAAGAAAAGTATTCAAAGTTCTCAGCTTTATAATTTTATTGAATTTTAATGTTAAAACTAACTTTTTCCAGTTAAAATTTGCAGATTTTTTAAATCTAAAAAAGTAAAAATTAGCAAATTTTGAAAATTCTGAAAATACTGAGAAACCTTGCAAAAATTATTAAATTTTTTTTATTACTGTGCTGCTGCACCTCCAGAGTTGGTGTCTGTATAAACAAAAATTCTGCAACAAGATGACATCAGAGTCAAACAAATTTTATCTGGCTGTTTACCAAAAAGACATGTAAACAAACAAACAAACAAACAAACAAACAAACAAACAAACAAACAAAAAATAACTTTTTTTCATTTTCATCTTATAATCAAATGTTAGTTCAGGTATTTTTTATTCTTCATTCCTTCTGACGAGAGCTGTCCTTAATTTTTTGACCTCCATATGTAAACCATAAAACATAAGAGGTATGTTTATCTGTCATTATTAGTGGATCAAACGTTTGCAGAAACTATTCTAAACTGGGCAATTCGTTATTTTTGTACACAAATCTTGGTTACTTTTAGTTTTTGTCTTTGTTGTGTTCTCCACCTGTAAAACAATATTATTCGGTTGCATTTTTATATCCTCTCTCATACATTTCTATTTTTATATTTGTTTTGCAGGTGAGACAGAGCCCCTATGCAACTGCACCACAAACATATGCAACCTGTTCTCTGAAAGCATGACATATCTCTTCCCGTTCAACATTGAGTACCACATCTTTGTGTCTGCCTTGCTTTTTGTCATGTGGAAGAACATTGGACGCACCATTGACATTGACTCCAACAGAAAAAGTCTGGTCACCAAAACCCAGGGTTTGACTGTAGGCCCCTTTGTGGGCCTTGTGGCTCTGGCCAGCACTATTGGAATACTGGTGGTCTACATTACACGTGTCGAGGGCTCTATTGAGTTACGTTACTCAGCCATTTCCATGTACTACATTTATGGCATTGTTATGCTGGCAGTAATGTGCATCACCGGTGCTGTCGGTCTGCTCATATATCGAGTGAACCACAAGCCGTTTGACACGGCCAAGAATCCTTCAAGGCAGCTGGACACAGAGCTGCTGTTTGGGTCCTCTGTGGGCTCCTGGTTCTTGTCCTGGTGCAGTATAGTGTCTGTGTTAAGCACCAGCAGCAACCCGCCCTTCCGCTGGACCAACCTGGTCTACTCTCTCCTGGTTGTGATGGAAAAGTACCTCCAGAACCTCTTCATTATTGAGTCCCTTTATCGCCAGCAAGAGAGTGCAGAGGGGGGAGACCCAGAGATGGCATCCGGTGCGGAAGTTTTCTCAGTGACTACATCTCTGCCACCGCCACTCAACGGGATTGTCAATCAGGCTTTTGAGAGCCCTGGTGGTGCCTGCGTTTCCATGGAGACTGAGCAGGAAGAGAATGCCCAAGTCTACGACTGTCAGAGGAAGCAGTCGAATGTGCCGCTGCCAGTTCACACTGAGGTCGTAGAACCTCTAAATATCAAAAGACTAATTCTGAAGAACATCTCTATTTTATTGCTCATGTGCAACATTTCGGTGAGTATGATCATAAAAATAACATAAACTCATGACACAGTTCAAGACACACTGATGTTCAGATATTAAAATAATAAATAACTGATAAAAGGTTACAGTCAGGCATCCGTCTAAACCGTTGTTACTGTTAAATGTTATCAATGAATCAAATCCTTTCAGTAGTAGACAAAAAGAATTTTCATGCTGATTTCTGAATTTTTGCTCCACTTTAATTATTTGTTCTTTTTTACTGCATCAGATGTATTACCAACCAGAAAAAAGGCAGTTAGTAACACTTTGCTGCCTCATAATAAACACCCAAATTTTCTCTGTGAAGCGCAGACATGTATGTGTCCTCACATGATTACTAGTGTAGTATAATGTGTGCAATAACAACTGCGGAATGTACATAAACAATTGTTGCATGGCTGTTTGTTTATCTCGTTGTCTTTGGCCAAAATAATGTATATACACTGTTTTAAATCCCTTTTCCCCTCTCTTTTCAGTTGTGGATCCTTCCTGCCTTTGGTTGCAGGCCACAGTACGACAACGGACTTGAACAGGAAACATTTGGTTTCTCCGCTTGGACCACAGTTCTCAATTTTGCCGTTCCTCTGAGCCTTTTCTACCGCATGCACTCAGTAGCCTCCCTCTTCGAAGTTTTTCGTCGGGTCTGACTGGAAAGCAAACAAATGACACTGACAGGATTCACAGGAACCTCGAGGTTGTGTCTCAGCATGGGTCAGCTGTTCAGGAGGCAGTCAGGGCCACTCGGCTGCAGACTGGAGAGTAAGCCATGGAGACAAACTAAAGGAAGGTTCTCAGTGTGAAGATGAAAGAGGAATTTCCTTGAAGATTTATGCTGTAAACCAAAAAGCTTACTAGACATGGTGATGAGAAGAATCCTCGTTTTAGGTTTTTTGTTCTCATATTTGAAGTTTTTTAGCAGGTGGACCATATTCATCATAGACTAAATATGCTTCATCTAAAATGCACACTTTAAAATGTTACTTTTTACTGATTGAAGGTAGTTTTATGAAAAAGATTTGATTACAATATCTGACAGTAAGAGCTCAGCCACTGTACCGACTGTGTACGGATAAAGTTCTCAATGAATCATCTTGGTACTTTACTTCGTGTAGCGTAGTAGAACCGTGCTCACACTTGAACAGAATGACTTGTTACAATTTTTATCATTGTATCGGTAACAGTTTTTCAGGCAAATCTTAGTTCTCAGAAGATGTTCATTCTTCTCTCAGCTGCAGAACATTCATCAGGTTCCTAAAGCATCCTAAAACCCTTTGAGCTGATGTAAAGAAAACATTTCTCAAACAGCTTCCTTTTTAACTTTCCTTCAGTATGTAATCATCAGGACATGAAAAACATGAGAAAGCACATATGCCACTGACTTCTCATGAGAGACAGTTGTTTACCCGTCAAAGAACCAACAGTTAAATCCACACAGTCTGTGACAAAACTTTGCACTGTACATTTATAAGAATTTTACATGAAATTTCATTCGGGTGTCTTGCAAGTTCTCACCCTTCCAGTTCTCTGTATGTGCCAAGTTTAGGAAACAAAATCTCCCTTTCTCTCTTTTTTGGGGTCATTTTAAGAGAATGTTATGTATTTGTAAAAACTGTTTAATTGATCAAAATCTCTCAGATGCTGTGAGAAATTCTATGTATTTTCAAAGAAATTGTGATGAAAAAGATGTAAACAGATGTCCGTATTCATAAGAAAAATAAAAATGCATAGTTTCTTTTTGAAATTTAAGATTTGTCCCATCTTTTTCTTGGGGGTGGGGGGGGGGGGGGGGTGGGGGGGGGGTAAAACAACTGCAGTAAACATCTCAACCGCTAGATGGCGACAAAATAACACAAGGACACACAAGCGTTTGCCCCACTGAATTATTCACTCACTCACGGCTACGTGTAACACACCTGCTTATAATGATAAGAGAAATAAGACTCAAGTTACAATTAATTAGCAAACTTTTGTAGTTAGTAAGTTTTTAATAATAATAATAATAATAATAATAATAATAATAATAATAATAATAATAATTCACAACTCAAAATGTGATCAGGTTATTTACAAATAAAATCACTCCATATTTTTTCAATAAAAAGAAACTAGCAATACAAACACATGCACCATCTTACTCTTACATTTTTTGTCTGTCTTTGGTGAATTGTAAGTGAAGAAGCAGACTTCCAGCTGCGTCAGTTGCAGGTTGCTTCCTGACGTGATGTGATCCTCAGATTATAGGTCAGGCTACTCCAGAGATTTTGGGCCCGAGCGTCAGGGGATTATTTCAACGTAGTGTCTGAACGATCTGACAGGCACGCAGACACATCTAAAAATAACCGTGACGTTTCAGCGGTGGAATCCACGCTGCTGCTGCTGCTGCGCCAACGACGCGGAGCTCCCGGCTTTACATGCCCCGATGAGAGTGTGAATGTGACTCACCGGTTCAGAAAAGTCCGCAGAGAGGACGGAGCTCCGACCTCCACACGGGGCATGGTTAGAGGGCAAACAGCCACCTGTGTTCAGACACGATCTATTGTTTCTAAGATAAATTTAAACAGGCTAAAATTGTGTTAAACAAATAATTAGGGATATTTGGTGTTTAGTCCAGATAGATGAATAATACATTTGAAGCGCTTTGTGGGCTGTCCGTGGTGCAGAAACGCTGTTCGGCTTTTGTTTCAGCACCATGGACAGCTCTAAAAGTGCTAAAACTGCCTTAAACTGAAATTTGGCATCTGTCTATGTGTTATCAAGTATATTACCAAACGACATAACATTATGAACATTGGCTTGTTGAGTTTTAAAACTATTTAAATAAAACATGTCAAAAACACGCGAAAAGCAGTCGATAAAACGGCCAAATCCTGAGCTGTGACGCTTAAGTCTCTCTCCAAAAGAAAACCCTTTCGGTTGTGTTAGATAAATGCCCGCCATCAAACAAAAGCTGTCTGCTCATTTGTAATTATAGAGGATCCGAGCGAAACTCTCACATTATTCATGTCTTTGGTGCGTCTTTGCGTAAACAGCCATGTAGGCGTGATGGTGCATGCATCGAGCACTGGTTTTGGTGTGTGTGTGTGTGTGCGCGCACGTATGTGTGTTGTAAGGCTTTAGGGACTCCCTTCCCATCCGCACCTTGCTCAGATTATCTTGGACTGACAGATCTACGGAGACAGCCCTGGTCAGACCACCGGATCGGCAGGCTTTCAATATGCTCTCGCCACTACGTGCTGTGTCTCAGTCCTTCGGAGCACCTGGCTCATCGCTCGGTTTAATTTTAACGCGCTCAGTCCTCTCTTTTCCTCTGCTTTGCTCTGCGCGTCAAGCTGGCAGCCCAGCGGGTCATTGGGGACAATTCGGTGACCAGCTGATAACTGAGCCCGTCCCCGCGCACAAAGTAATGGATTGTAATTTTACTTGAAAAAAAATGGAGAACCCAGCCAAGTATCTCTCTTCGGTGCAGGGGACTGATTCTGTGCCGGCACCCCTCGGAGAGATCATGTGGAACAGGACCGAAACGGAGACGACAAGCGACGGGAGAAAGGATATGGTGGGGCGCACGGTGACGGGATGCCTCCTGTCCCTGCTTATTCTGTGGACACTGCTGGGGAACATCTTGGTCTGCTCCGCGGTGCTGCGCTTTCGGCACCTGCGGACCAAAGTAACCAACATTTTTATCGTCTCCCTGGCGCTGTCGGATTTATTCGTGGCTGTGCTGGTCATGCCATGGAAAGCTGTGGCTGAGGTGGCGGGATACTGGCCGTTTGGCACTTTTTGTAACGTCTGGGTTGCTTTTGACATCATGTGTTCCACTGCCTCCATCCTCAACCTCTGCATCATCAGCGTGGACAGATACTGGGCCATCTCCAGCCCCTTTCGCTATGAGAGGAAAATGACCCAGCGAGTTGCCTTTGTTATGATCAGCATCACTTGGACGTTGTCTCTGCTCATTTCATTCATACCGGTCCAGCTAAACTGGCACAAAGCCACCGCCGACGAAATGGCCGTGGCGCACAACTCCTCCAAAAGTCGTCAGATAGAAGAAAACTGTGACTCCAGCCTGAGCAGAGAGTACGCTATATCCTCCTCTTTAATAAGCTTCTACATCCCCGTGGCAATTATGATTGTAACATACACCAGGATATATCGGATTGCTCAAATTCAGATCAGAAGGATAGCCTCCCTGGAAAGAGCGGCGGAGCACGCGCAAAGTTGCAGGAGCAAGAGAATAGAGTGCCAACACCACAACACCTTGAAAACGTCAATTAAACGGGAAACCAAAGTGTTCAAAACCCTGTCGGTGATCATGGGGGTCTTTGTGTGTTGCTGGTTACCTTTCTTCGTTCTGAACTGCATGGTGCCGTTCTGCGACAGGCCCGTCACGGACCGGGAAGCGGGCCTGCCGTGCGTCAGCGAGACCACGTTTGACGTGTTCGTGTGGTTCGGCTGGGCCAACTCCTCCCTGAATCCCATAATTTACGCCTTCAACGCTGAGTTCAGGAAGGCCTTCGCAAGCCTTTTGGGCTGCCGCTACTTCTGCTCCAACACACCTGTGGAGACGGTCAACATCAGCAACGAGCTGGTCTCCTACAACCAGGACACCCTCATCCACAAGGAAATTGTGAACGCATATGTCAACATGATCCCCAACGTGGTTGAATGTATCGAGCATGAAGAGACTTTTGACAGGATCTCACAGTTTTCTCACAACAACGAGAATGGCACTGACTCGGTTTGTGACCTGGAGGACTGCGAGGCAGACATCAGCTTGGACAGGATGTCACCGTTCACACCTAACGGATTACACTGACTCGGGGTCACTCTGAGCGTGACTGGATGTATTGATTAAATGTCATCGGCCATTCATCTCCTCTCCGCTGGGGGTTCCCACGGAGCAGCTTCCTTTACCTAATGACCTTCTGATGGACACACCAAGAGGACGCATGTCTCTGCAGCCACACACCCCTCCCCTCCTGCCACGGCGTTGCATCATATATGAAAAGTGATGTTGTCCTGTTCTGATAAACAGTTATGTGTAGGTGTTTATTTACATGACAAGTGGCATCTGTGTTCCTTCAAGATTCAGTGTTGCTGAAGCTGTGGTTTACTCATTTTGGAGCATCAGTGTCTCATTTCCGTCCACCTGCAGGAAACTTAACGCTGCTGAATAAACTCATGTGTGTCAGTGCCCACCCTTCCATTGATGGTGATGATGAGGATGAGGGCAGCCTTACAGACAGTGCAACTAGTCAAATGCAGTCATTTCAGCGCCTTATAGCTATAAAAAAGAAAGAAAGAAGAGATTTGAGACATGCAAAGAATGTGTCCCATGGAGTTTAGGTTACATGATGCCAAAATGCATTATTGAAGTGTTTCACCACAGCAACAACCCCAGCGACTCCTTTTAGCACACTCGCCTGCTCCAAGTGGACTACTGTGTAGTTTTATTCAAAAGTAAAAGCCAGCAGGCTTAAAGCACAAAATCTAATGTGATGACAAAGTCAGAATGGGTGAACTGGCATCTTTAAATAAACATAAAATGTGAACAAAAACAGCAGAGACATTTGAACACTTCATAACTGTTACAGCTTTTTTTATGATGTTTGATTTCACATCGAGGCCAAAACTTCTGCTAAGGTTCAGCTTCGTCAGCCTGATTCAATTGACCAAAGACTTTATAAGGAGTGGATCTCAGAAGTGTTTTTGTCTCTCTCTCTCACACACACACACACACACACACACACACACACACACACACACACACACACACACACACACACACACACACACACACACACACACACACACACACACACACACACACACACACACACACACGAGACCAATTGGGCCAACACAACTGGATGTCATATCACCTCTTCCGCATCTTTGTACTGTGCAGATGACTTGATCTGAATGTAATTCTATCCTTTAAATGGTGAACCGTGTCATCATTTGTCTAATAAAATGCTTTCATGCAGAGAGGAACACAATGCTCTAGTATCTTTATTATTCAAATCTCATTTGAAAAATGCAGTCTAGTGGTTTAAACGATATAACATTTTTAAATCATTAATTTGCTTGTTTGTTCTTTTTACACTTTGAAGGCACACATGGGACTTTTGCTTGCTTTTAGCACCCCAGTGTCTGCAATGAAGTTTCTGTGGTTAAACCGAAAGTGAAACGTATCCCCTTGCTGTTTGTTTGTCTTTTTAACATCTTCATTTAACAGCTGAAATGTCTCCCCAGCCTTTATTAGTGTCTACAGAAGTGAGTCATCACTAATAATAATAAACCAGCTGTATTTCTGATCTAAAACACTTAGGAAACATGGGAGCAGACAGCTGCACCAGGCATGTCAGCTTCCCTTTTTTCTGAAAATACTAAAGTTGTAAGTGCAATATTCTGGCCACAAAGTGTGGTGTGGTCTGAGTGACATTTTAGCACATAATATCTCAAGGAAATGATTTAAAATATGAAAAAGTTGCAAAGTTTCACTTTAACAGCAGATGAAAACAGAAAATGTCAGAAACAGCACATGAATGAAGGTATGAGATCCTTAGTGGACATTGTTGTTTCTGCAAGCAAAAACTGCAACTCCTTAGGGATTCTCAGTAGTCTGGACTGTTTTCCACAGCATCAGAAAGCTAGACTTTTCTCTGACAGATGCAGGCACGTTTGATTCCCACAAGCCAGAGCGACACAATTGTTCAATTTTTTTAGGTGAAGACAAACAAAGCATTTTAAGTGTGATGTTGAGGTGTAGATTTAGTCTGTCTATCCTGTCTCAAAGCTGAAGAAATTACTCTGTTTGCACAAATCTCGTTCTTGTTTCAAATGTCCTTTAAGTATTAAGACAATATTATTCTAATGTGTCCTTCACATTCCTGGTGACTAGATTCTGCATAATTTACAGGCAAACTCAATGCAAACAGATGAGTGACAGGGATTGGAAAAGACCACACATGAAGAACATCAACATTGCAGCCTCTTCTGATTGATTTGCGTTTCAAAGCTATGTAAATTATAGAAAACCTACAAGGGGGCTTGGAAAGAGCAGCCATCTGCCATGTTCCTGTAAAGGGTTAAATAAAACAAAACAGACACACCTTCAATTTCTTGTTGTTCCCATGTTCTCATTGTATTGGCAGTTTTTTTACAAGGTAATGGTGAAAAGAGGCTTTGAAATAACAACTATTCTGCGCCATTATTGTTTTACACTTGACAGCCTGTTCTGTCATATTTAGGCTCCATGTGATTACAAATGCGGTGACATTTACAAAATTGTGCCTAATTATTTTCTATGCATGTTAAAAAAATGTCAAAAATAATTATTTTTAACTAAATAAAAAATGTATGAAGTTGCAGTTCAATAAAGCCAAGTGTCATGTTGATAGTGTAGGTGCCTAAACCAAATAACTAGCTAAAACATGAATAGCCTATCAAAATAAAAGTGAAGAGATCCCCTAAATAACCTTGTTTTCTTGGTAAAATTGTGTTTTATTAATTAATGTTCCAGTCTTACTTCTCCATACACACCGATGCACGATGATTACAAAAGACCCAGCAGATCTCTTCACCTACATTTTATCTTTTAGTGGGCTACAACAGTTTGACTTTGTAAATTAACAGAAAATATTTAGTTCAAAACTGTCACATTTATATTTAGATTTCAACCTTCGGATTAAACTTAAAATATTTATTTTGAATCTAAACATCTATTTTTATCATCCTTACCTGAAGCTAAAAAAGGTCATGTTCAACTGATCATTTTTAAATTTACAATCAGCACCCCATACCAGTAATCCATACTGAGCCAGAGGACCCCTTGTCACGCGAGGGTACACAGGAATAAACCCAAATGCAGGAGGCAGGATGACTAAATCCAATACTGAGATATTTTAATAACAAAAAAGTCACCACATAAGTGGGAAAAGGACTTCACAGGACTTTACTTGAAACAAAAACTACCACAGACTCTAAGCAATACTATAGACACCAGCAACACTACACAAAACGCCACACCATGCACTGGGAGCAGCTGCTTAAATACATGGTGTGGCAATCAGGAAATTGCAGTCAGCTGCGGCATCCCCCGGTGCTCCAAAGAGAGGCAGGAACTGCAGGAAGAGCCACAGCCAACCTACATAGAGAAAAAAACACACATTAAAAACAATCATGAGGAGTAACCCATAACCCCCAAATTCCACTACCTCCGCTCCGCTGCGCTCCGCTCCGACACGAATGCCGGAGCAAAATCGGTCCCGTTGTAGTCAATCAGAGCAATTCCACTACTGCGGCTGTGCTCCGGCAGTGCGGCGCCGTGCGCCGCCCTCTGTTCTGGCGTCCGGCAAAAATAGAATCGATCCTATTTTTGCCGGACGCCGGAGCACCTCCGCAGTAAATGGACAGAAATCACAACGGCCCAACGGGAAAAGGAGCAAGCACAATTTCCGTTTTTCACAATACATCGATAAACAAAAGGCGTTTTTTGTTTCATATGCACAGATTTAACAACTTTTAACCACTATCAATGGCGGCTGAAGTTTAAATGCACAAAATTAAGCCATAAATACAGTTTCCACTATCAAAGTAGACACACTTTGTTGATCCAAACACTGCTGATCTCTCAACACAAATGATGGGCAGATTAAACAGTTCATTTCGATGCTTCTCCCACACAAAGGGTGTTTTGATCTAACTTCCGCGTTTATTGCTCGGACTGTATCGCAAGATCTCGAAAATCCTGCGCATGCTTGTTTGCCCCCCTCAGGTCTCCGCACCGGAGCGGAGCCGTTGTAGAGCGGGTACCAGTAAAAATTGAGTTCGGAAGCGAGCGGCTGCGGAAGGCGGGGGCGGACCGGAGCGGAGCGGAGCGGAGGTAGTGGAATTTGGGGGTAACATAACCCCCCTCACAAGGTCCGGCTTCCAGACGGCCGAAGGGGTTGATCAGGGTTGTCCCGGTGAAAACGGGTGATCAGGTCATGGCACAGGATGTGGCGTTCGGGGACCCACTGGCGGTCCGCCGGGCTGTAACCCTCCCAATCCACCAGGTACTGGATGCCCCGACCCACTCTCCGAGAGGCCAGGAGTTTGTTCACCTTGAAGACTGGACCGCCATCCACAAGGCGAGGAGCAGGCGGAGCCGCAGGGGGCGGGTGCAAGGGGCTAGTCCTAAAGGGCTTCAGCTTGCTCACGTGGAAAACGGGGTGGATCCACAGGGAGCGAGGAAGGTCCAGTTTGACTGCCACCGGGTTGATGATCCTGGATACCGGATAGAGGCCGATGTACCGAGGAAGAAGCTTTCTCAAACCCCCTTTCAAAGGCACATCGGTCGAGGCAAGCCAAACTTTGTCTCCCACCTTGTAGTCGGGTGCGGCTGACCTCCGACAGTTCGCCACTGCAGTCAACCGTTCCTGATTCTGGACTAGTCGAGAGCGGTAATCCACCCATGTGCGCCGACAGCGTCGCACAAATGCGGCGGGGCTGGAGACTGATGCAGACCTCTCCTGATTGGGGAAAAGAGGGAGTTGAAAACCATAGGCAGCCTGAAAAGGGGAGAAACCGGTAGAGTTCACAAGTGAATTATGGGAATATTCTGCCCAAGGGAGCTGTGAGGACCAGGTCGTGGGGTTCTTAGAGCACATAGCTCGTAGGGTGGTCTCCAAGTCTTGATTAAAACATTCCACTTGCCCGTTGGTCTGAGGATGGAAACCAGAACTCAAACTGACCGTTATCCCAAGGAGCTTGCAGAATTCCCTCCAGAACGCTGCCACAAACTGTGGGCTTCGATCAGAGGTAATGTTCTCAGGAAGCCCGTGCAGTCGAAACACATGTAGTGCCACTATCTCAGCCAGTTGTTTTGCCGAGGGCAGTTTCTGTAGGGGCACAGCATGAACCAACTTCGAAAATCTGTCCACAATAGTTAGAATGACAGTATTACCTCTTGAACGGGGCAGACCCGTGATGAAGTCCATGGCTATGTGGGATCATGGTCTGGAGGGGATAGGTAAAGGCTGTAAGAGTCCCGCAGCAGGGGTTCTGGGCACTTTAGCAATGGCACACACAGGGCACGAGGAGACGAAAGCTCATATGTCAGAGGACATGGTCGGCCACCAGAAACGCTGAGCCACCAGGAAGGCGGTGCTTGTCATCCCGGGATGGCAAGCCAGGTGTGACGAGTGCCCCCACTTCAGCACCGCGGGACGTAGACTTGAAGGTACGAACAAGCAGTTAGGGGGGGCATCCATCAGGAATTGGGACTGTACCTGAAACTGCAGACTTGACCCTTCGTTCCAAGGTCCAGCGGTTTGCCCCAAGTACCAGGACAGGAGGAACGATGGTGGTGGCGCCCAGGGTCTCTGTCGACTTACAGTCCTGCTGATATTGGCGGGACAAGGCGTCAGGTTTGATGTTCTTGCTGCCAGGGCGATAAGAGAGGGTGAAGTTGAAATGATCAAAAAACAGAGCCCACCGGGCTTGGAGTGGATTAAGTCGCTTAGCTGTGCGAATGTACTCTAAGTTCTTGTGGTCAGTCCACACCAGAAAAGGCTGTCTTGCACCCTCCAGCCAGTGGCGCCACTCATCAAGGGCCAGCTTCACAGCTAGCAATTCTCTGTTCCCTATGTCGTAGTTTCTCTCTGCAGGAGTGAGCTTGCAGGAGAAATACGCGCAGGGATGAACTTTGTTATCAGATGCTCTCTGTGACAACATGGCCCCCACCCCAGACTCAGACGCATCGACCTCCAAAATAAACTGTTTGGAGGGGTCAGGCTGTGCCAGGATAGGAGCCGTAGAGAAACGTCTTTTAAGCTCAGTAAAAGCCCCATTGGCTCCATCGTCCCAGACAAAACGTACCTGAGCTGAGGTGAGTCTATGGAGAGGTGCAGCCACGCCACTGAACCCTTTGATGAAACGTCTGTAGAAGTTAGCAAACCCCAAGAAGCGCCGGAGCTGCTTACGATCCACGGGGACAGGCCAAT